CCAAATCCATTTCCCTGCCTGCCTTCCTGCTCTGCTCCTGGCACCACATCTGTGGGCCAGCTACTTCCTAGCTCTGTTTCACCCGCTGTCCTGTTTCTGTCATAGTTTGGGCGCTGTCACTTTTCCCCTGTATTACTGAACGCTTCCCCCAACAGGCCTCTCTGCCTCTTTCTCACCAGTGCCTTCTGATCACAGCAACCATAGTGATCTTTCTACAGCACTTGTCAAACTATGTCTATCCCTAGCTTCGAGAGCTGCTCATTACTTCCATGATGAAATTTAAAAGTGCTTTGCATTGGAGGCATGATGTGTTCTCAGCTACTGTTCTGATTTCATTTCCAGCCAGTCCTATCTTGTGATTACCAAGCTCATTCCTTCCCCAGCCTAAATCCTTTAGGCCACCTGCTTCAGGAGATTTCACCCACCTAGCTTCGGCCAATGCACCTCCTCCACCTACCTGCTCTCCAGGGATCGGACACCCACCACTACCACTAACACACATAAACTCTGACATACTATATGCTAAACATCCAGATATGAGGCCATGCACGGTCCTCATGCCTGTAATCCTAGCACTTTGGGAGGCCAAGAAGGGCGGATCGCTTGAGCTCAGGAGTTTGAGACCAGCCTGAGCAACATGGTGAAACCCTGTCTCTACCAAAAATAAAAAAAATAAAAATAAATAAAAATAGCCGGGCATGGTGTTGCGCACCTGTAGTCCCAGCTACTTGGGGGGCTGAAGTGGGAGGATCACTTGAGCCCAGGAGGTCGAGGCTGCAGTAAGCCGAGATTGTGCCACTGCACTCCAGCCTGGGTGACAAAACAAAACAAAATAAAACAAAAAACAAACAACAACAACAAAAAAAAACAGATATGACTGCAGGGAAACACAGGCTCAGGGGAAGAATTGTGTCCTACTCTGCCACTCAAGGCCACTGACCGTTCCTGTCCCAGGCTTCAGAGCAGAGTCCAACAAAGAAATAGCAACACCCAGGTGCACACACTTGCATACACACAGCCAGACAGTTGGTTGCCCAACTGCTCCAGCTCAGAGGAAGAGAAAGAGACTGGCAAATAATAATTAGCCTCCTCCCAGATGCCAGTGTCTGTCTCTAAGTCCCCAGGGACTTCCAAGGGGATGCCGGAACTACTCAGGTTTTTCACTTCCCCCATGCAAGAATGTAAGGTGTAGAGCAGAATTTGATCCTACATGTCAATACACAGCTCCTCCCATAGGCACTCCCCACATAGTGCTAGCTCAGGGCCTCATTCTCAGTGCCCTCTGCCCCCAGCTGCCTACGCTTGTCTGGAACAGACTCTTATTCCCTTTCTCTCAGTCTACAACGACTTAGCTTTCCTCCCCATTCCTATATAGATACAGCTTAGAAAACCCCTCCTGGAAAATGCAGCCAGTGGCCTTTAGCTGATGCCCTCAAGCTGAGCAGAACCCAAAGAAGGCTTTAGGTGGTTCAGATCATACCTGTGAGTTTATATTCATTCATTCAAGATAACCAAAGCCCCATTCTGGGCACCAAGGAAATAAGGAGAGAGGGGGTCAGTATCTGAAGAGGAGAGAGACTTCCTCAACCTCAAAACTTTCATATGAAGTCAGCCTATCTCATGAGCCCTGGAGGCAGGAAGAGGCCACCAAGGTGGATTCAAAAGCCTTTCCAATAGTTAGGTTTTGAGAATCTTAATTTTCCGGAATCTGATGTTCTTTGATGAAAGACAGAAGCCCACAGGCCTGGGCACCCACCCACCCCAGGCACCATGATAGTGTCCCAAATGCCACCACAGCATCCAGTTCTATCAACAATGTGGAACAGCAGACATAGCTACAGTGTCCATTTTACAGATGAGGAAACGTGGCCCAAACAGAAAAAGGAACTTGTCTGAAGTTAGCCAGGTAGCAAGGCTGCCTGGATCTAAAATCCCAGCTCAGCTCCCCACAGTGTTAAGTTTTAGGAGATGGGAGATAATGATCTGTCCTGGCTGCCTGAATGCAGTAGCAGAAAGGAGCCCTGGGGCTGAGCTGGTGGGACCGGCTTCCATCAGATGGACATGGCATGGTGAGGCCTGTTTTTCCAAGGGCTGGTGCTGCTGCTTGCTCCATGCCGACCACGAGAGCCTCTTAGGGGCAGCAGAGAGGGCAATTTTAATGGCATCTGGTACCGGGACTTTGGGGGAGGAAGTCTGTGGTTCTGGTGTTAACAGTGGTGCCAGAGACCTCTAATCTGCTGCCTCCGCCATCTAGTCAACCCAAGGCTAGTGATAGCAGGTGGAGTCTGCAGGGTGGGCCTCCCTGGGCTCTGCCCGCTGAGCCTTTCCCCACTGGACCCTCAACCTCAGTCTTGGCTGCCACGGCTAGTCTGGTCTAAGGGGGAGGGCCACGCCCGGCTCAGCTGAGGGGAATCCATTCCAAGTAGAATCATTAGTTGAACACAGTTCCCAGAGGGGGGATGGAAATATCAAAGGCAACTCGATCCGGCCCATCTCCCTCTCCTGCCCGGCGACGGGATCCGCGGGGATCGAGTGACTGCTTACACAGCCTGGAATACTGCACAGCCACCCGAGCAGCCCGCCCGAAGGCTATACTGTCCGAGGGGCCGACCGAGGTTAAGGGACCTGTCGCCTGGCGGGAATGCGGCCGTGAAATGGGCCCAGGTGTTCAGGCTCTCTCCACCCATTCATCGGTGGGAGCGAAAGTTCAGGAATCGTGCTCCTTCAGCAGCCCCCCGCCTCCCACAGCCCTCCCGCTGGGCTCACCCATTGCAGTTACAGCCCGGCAGAACCGGGGGTGAAGGAGCTTCCCGCCGATCCCCTGCGCTTGAACCAGAGTGAAGCTGCCACCGCGCCGCGCGGGGCTCTGCCTGGCAGGGTACGGCTGAGCCCCTCCTCGGGCCCCGCCCTGGGGCTCCTCGGCCACGCCCCAGTCATCCAGTCTCGCCTCGGGCCTCAGAGTCCAGCCCTGCCCTTGACGTTCGACCCCTCCTCCCAGGTTATCAGGCGGACCTGAGGCCCCGCCCCTCAGCCCCACCTTCCTGCCACTGCTCTGTGCTCTGCCCCTGGCATTTCGGGCTTGCTCAGTCCTGCGTCCCGAGTCTCCGACTCCCGCCGGCAGGCCCGCCCCTGCTGGGCCACTGCTTAACCGCAAACGGGCTGGGCTCGACCCCAGGCCTGCTGGGACATGTAGTTCTGCAGAAAGGAGCAGCTGCGGAAGGTTGGGGTTCTTGCACCTCTAGGCTAGGTTTGAAATGAGAATGAGAGGGAGAGAGCTGCAGGGTAAAGGAGCAGGGCTCGCCATTGGAATTCCTTTTTTCCTGATTTGGGCAGGTGGAGGCCATATCGGTATAACGCTCTCACAAGCCCTCAGCGTTCCATATGGAAAAGTGGTGGCGGAATTCCGCGATTATCTTAGCGCCCAATGCAGGGTGCTTCCAATCAAGGGCCCCACGGAGGGAGCTGTAGTTCCAACCTGCGGGGAGCCCAAGCTGTCGGTTCCCACCGGACTAAACCAGCGGTGTCCGAGGTCAGGGACTGAGAAGACCGGTTTCTGCTCGGTATTTTGCAATGTCACTCGCCTCCCCTACCGCCACCCCCAGACTAGTTATTTATAGGGTCCAGCCCCTCCTCCTAAGTTACAGCCTTTAGTTAGAAACGCCCAAGCTGCGGGAAAGTGGGCGTGCCCCGCCATGCCCTTCTCCCCGGGGGCTGGGCAAGACTCTGAGGTTTTATTTCTTTTTTATTTTATTTTTATATTTATTTATTGTTGAGTGTCATTCTTGTTGCCCAGGCTGGAGTGCAATGGCACGATCTCGGCTCGCTGTAACCTCTGCCTTCCGGGTTCAAGCAATTCTCCTGCCTCAGCCTCCCAAGTAGCTGGGATTACAGGCACGTGCCACCACACCCAGCTAATTTTGCATTTTTAGTAAAGACGGGGTTTCACCATGTTGGTCAGGCTGGTCTCAAACTCCTGACCTCAGGTGATCTACCTGCCTCAGCCTCCCAAAGTGCTGGGATTACAAGCATGGGCCACCACGTCGGGTCATATTTTATTTTTTTGAGAGAGGGTCTCACTCTGTCGCCCAGGCTGGAGTGCAGTGGCGCGAACATAGCTCGCTGCAGCCTCAGTGTCCTTGTTTCAAGCTATCCCCTCCTACCTCAGCCTCCTGAGTAACTGGGACCACATGTACGTGCCACCATACCCTGCTAATTTTTAAACTTTTTGTAGAGAAGGGGTCTCCTTATGTTGCCCCAGGCTGTTATCGAATTCCTGGGCTCAAGTGATCCTCCTGCCTCAGCCTCCCACAGTGCTGGGATTACAGGTGTGAGCCACTGGACCTAGCTGGTTTCATATTAATTGATGCAGAAAGGAAAATACTGAAGATCCCAGAGATTTTAGAATGGCCCCTCTCGCTCCCTGAGGGGCAGAGAAACAGGGCTTTGTTTTGCAACTTGAAATTTCGTGGTCATGAGACCCTTCAAAATTATGTTTTCACCAGTTGGACTTGGAATGGGGGACACACCTTTGCAGCAAGGGTGTCTGAGCACAGAGAGGCTTTTGGGAGGCTGTGATGGGGACTCCTGGAAGCAGAGATCAAGAGCTTTGCGTGTAGGGATACGGCTTTGACTGTGGAAGGAAGGATCCTGGGTCCTTTGATGAGTGGGAGGGCGTCTAAGTTTGGGGGCATACTGAAGAAATGTTAGCTGGAGGGTCTTCGTGGGGTGGGAAGTAGATGGCTCCTGCCTGCATTGCAGGGTGGACACATTCGTTTGGGCTCTGGGATGCAGGGGAGTAGGACAGCAGCTGGATATAGGGCTACTGTTCTGTGTCAGGAGGGCACTCAGGGACATACTGAGATGATGGGGTTGGAAGGGCTCAGGGAAGGGTGACTTTGAGAAAAATTGCATCTCAGTTGAAGGGGTTTGGTAGAGGCCCGAGTGACAGGCCCTTCACTTCCAGATTCTGCTGGGTAAGGACACAGGAGGCAGGCTTTGGGGGTGAAGAGTTTATTTATTGCTCTGTCCCCGTGGCCCAGCAAGCCCAGGCTCTACCAGCAACGATAGTCAGGATAGGTCTCAGACACAAACTCAGGATGGATAACATAGTTGTTTCTCTGGGGACCACCAGACTTCTTGAAGTGACTTGTGTCCCATCTACAGGAAGAGATGGGTCAGCCCTTTTGGATCCTCATATGTCAAAGTGAATATCTGACTCCAGTTTGCAATGCTAACCTTATCCCTATACTTTGCCTATAGCACTGAACTTGGGTTCCAATACTGACCTCCTGACCTTAGGTTCTACTGTTAAGTTGCTGATACCCAATATTTCTTCCTTAACATCGACTTCTTACTCGTTACTTCAAGCTCTGAACCCAACGCCTTTGGCTGTAAGCCAACTGCCAACCTGTAACCCTTCAATACAGGCCTCCCAGCCCTGTCCTAAGGTCCTCTGTCCTTACCTCCTTTGACTGCTCCATGGCACTAGCTCCCCCTGGTGGTATCTGCCTGTCAGTGCACCGCAGCGGGGCGTTCTCATCCCATCTACCAGCCATCCTCCCCCAGCCCCGCCTCACCAAGACTTCAGGGTGCGTGTGCAAATGAGTGTGTGCCCGTTAGACTTACCTAAGGTTCGGATATGGGTAGTATGACGGCAGGGGAGTTGTAACAGCACACTGCATTCCGGGCCGGTGCTCGTAGGGAGGTACACAACTGGAGAAGAAGGAAGCCGCGAGCAGGGAGGGGTTGGGCCTTTTGACTCTCATCCCCCGACTTAGATCAAGCCCCTGGGCGGCACTTAAGGTGTTCGTCTCAAGGCTCGGAAATCCTCCTCTCCTTTCTCACCCTTCAAAACCCCCACTGCAGCACCGACTCGGGAACCCCCCTTGGAAGTCTCCCTCCCGGCAAGGCCTCATTTCTGCTGTTCAGGGAAGAGCGCTGGTCCCTGGGGAGGGTCGGGCTCCGGTCGTTGAGGACCTGGAACCACCAGATCCCCGCCACTGGACAGCAATTTCTCCAGCACTAGGATGAGGCATCGTTTCTGAGCTTTCTAGAGGCTCGGACACTTTCCTACTCCCCTATGCCTTTGAGAGGGACAAGACTCAGTCTTCCACAATGAATCAGGCTCTCTCGACCTGGAGAGGGGCGGGGGATCACTACGGACCCCCACTGCACAGCTCTCAGGGCTACCGCGGACAAAGTTCCCCCAGGCTTGGCTGCCGCCGGGTGCAGGACGAATGCCGCGCTGCAGTCTGGGCTCCAGCTGTGCGCTCGGACCCGTTTTCTTAGCAATAACACGGGAGAGTGGCTACCTCCGCAGGTGGTGCGGGATCCGAGGAGGCCAGAGTCATTCTGGTAAAGTGGTCACCATTTCCTGGCTCACGTAGCCCCTGCGAATGACCGCACCCACTACCGACGGTGACGGGGGCCCAGCAAGAGAGGACATTTTTCTGAGAACGCAGGGCACTCCACAGGCTAGAACCTGCGTCTCTAGGGCCAGGTGTCTAGGGAAGGGGGCAGGGCCAAGGAGATGTGGGAAGAGGATGCCACTGATGTGCGGGGTTTCTTCCTCAAAAACCTCAGGCGGGACCTCCAGAGCACATAGAGAGGCCAGGCTGACCTTGAGCCCAGTTTGAGAGGGACAGGGGTCGGGGACTTGGAGTAACCTTCGTGCTGGTTCTCCCGCCTCAGTTGTTAGTTCAGGCCTTGGAGCCCAAGGGCGGGACACGGCGCGGCCTCGAGAGCCTGCCGCGCGGTGCTAGAGCAGGCTGGGGGCCGGCACGGAGGCGGGCCGGGCTGGAAGAGGGCGGGGTTCTGGGGCGGGGCTTGTGTGGGGTGGAGCCCGGCTGAGGCGGGCGGAGCCCTGCGAACCTTACAGTCGGTAGCTCCCGGCACCAAGGCCGCAGGCGGCGGTCGGTGCAGGGCGCCCCGCTGGCGTAGTAGTCCATCCCACGCAGACAGTAGTGGCGGCCCGAGCAAGCACTTTCGTAACCGTGGAAGGGCAAGCGGCCGGGCAGCGGGTCCACGCACCCGCATCGGGGCGTGATCCGCGGCAGCTGCTGGTTCCGCGACAGTGAGTTCAGCATGTTCACCATCACTTCGCGCTCTGCGCCCGCGGGTCCCCAGCGCAGGAGACCCCAAGACAGATGCACAGGGATGGGAAGAGGCCGGGTCACAGAGTGAGGCGGAGACAAAAGCAGGGACGGACAGATTCAGGGTTCCACCCTCTCCAGGACCCTCGGCCTCCTACTCATACTTCAGGTCCCCATCCCGCCCTCCTCCCGGCTTTCCCCTACCCTCCCCACCCGTTCTTTCCAACGCCCCACTACCACTCTTTACCGTAGGCATTGAGCCGCTCCGGCTTAGGAGGGCATTCCAAGGGCATTCCTCGAACTGCTGTCTCCATCCCGGCCTCCTGGAAGTGGCACACATGCTACCTCAAGCTCTGACCTGGCAGAGCTGCTCCCTTTTAGGGGTCCTCCCAGAACACCCAGACCTATCGCCACGCTGCGCCTTCTCCCGCCCTTCAGCAGCTCCCCACCTCTCCAGGGCTCTGAGTGTTTGCGGCTGTCGCCTGGCAACGCGTTTACGCTGCCTACAGGGGCGGGGTGGGATGGGGAGAGCTGAAGGTGCATGGAGTTTGGCTCCTGGGCCTGTGACAATCCTGTCTCAGCGTTTGCCTTTGATCTTACCCCTCTTTGTCTAGCTGACTCTGTTTAGCTGTGTCTGGGTGTCTCTCTAATAGGGGGTTTTCAATATTGCTTGCCCATTCCGTGAAGAACTTGTGAAAGATTCTGATTCTTGAGGAAGTTCTAATTCAAAAGGGTTCATCAACCCAGGGTCAGCCATCAGCCTGCAGTTAAGAGCCCTGGCTCTGGTTTTGGGTCCTCTCGGGTGCCCTTGAGTCTGTGGCCGTGGCTGGACCTTCTCCTATGTCCTTGGAAGACTCTCCCGTATCTGCACTGCTACTAAGTAGCCTTGGTCTTCCTCCTTCCGTCTGTGCTCACATCACAAAGGAGGAGAAGGTGGAGCAGGGAGATGCAGTGTATCACTGACTCTTTGGCTAGCCCCAGTATCACAGGGCCCAGACTATATGGGGAGGGGCCAGCTGGCAAGCTTCGGAAAAGTAGCATATCATGGAGTGCACACCAGCCATGTCCCTACAGAGCCCAGCCAGGGATTGGGGCCCAGGGCACCCAATCCCCAGAGACTGAGAGCCAGGGGGCCAGCACAGCCCCACTTCTGGGTTCCTTTTTCAACTAAAAAAATTCAAACCCGGCCGGGCGCAGTGGCTCATGCAGGTAATCCCAGCACTTTAGGAGGCCGATGCAGGCAGATCACTTGAGGCCAGGAGTCCAAGACCAGCCTGACCAACATGGCAACATCCCCGACTCTACTAAAAATACAAAAATTAGCCAGGTGTGATGGCATACACCTATAATCCCAGCTGCTCGGGAGTCTGAGGCAGCAGAATTGCTTGAACCCAGGAGGCAGAGGTTGCAGTGAGCCGAGATTGTGCCACTGCACTCCAGCCTGGGTGATAGAGTGAGACTCTATCTAAAAACAAAACAAAAAAAAAATACAAACTCTAGTTTCACAGATGGAGAAGAGCCCTGGGGCATTTGTTGGGAAAGCAATGATGACCTAATGGTGAAATATCAGTCACTGTGGTTTGGGAGGTGGTGGGGTATGCGTGTCCCAGTCCCCAGACATCTGTGCAGGGTGCAGTAGATACCTTAGGCAGCCGAGGAAGGTAGGTGGTATACTTGTTGCAGCAGCTGCTGTTGTAAGGTTCCATCCTCCATGTGTTGTACCGGTCACTGCCCAGGTAGTTTGGGCTGCATTTGTCTGCTGGATAATAGGAGTGGAGATGTCAAATAGTGTTACTTCTTACTCTACTCCAGGATCTGGGATCCCCTACATGTTTCTCTTCTGATTCCCGGCACAAAGCTGACCCTCACAGACTGTCCTCAAGCCAGACCCCAAACCCAGCCAGGCCTACACTTGTCTTAAGCACTGAGATGTAGCCCATGTCCCACCTAAGGCAACCTTCTGAGTTTAGTCTGAATCCACTGTGCCAGCCACTTTTCATCCTGCTACTACCCTTTTTCAATCAGCCAGCCTGGACAAGGGGCCTCTTCCCAATTCCTCCCTCTCTCTCATCTTCTACTCTAGGCTCCAAGGTTTGCCTATTCTGCCTCCTTCAAAATCACTTGAATCTGGCCAGGCAAGGTGGCTCATGCCTGTAATCCTAGCACTTTGGGATGCCAGGGCAGAAAGATCACTTGAGATCAGGAGTTTGAGATCAGCCTGGCCAACATGGCAAAATCCTGTCTCTACTAAAATACAAAACTTAGTTGGGCATGGTTGGCATGCACCTGTAAACCCAGCTACTCAGGGGGCTGAGGCACAAGAATCCCTCAAACCAGGGAGGCAGAGGTTTCAGTGAGCCGAGGTTGTGCCACTGCACTCCAGCCTGGGTGATGGATCAAGACTCAGTCTCAATCAATCAATTGATCAATCAATAACTTGAATCTAGTCTGTCTTCCAGTACCCCATGATCTCACTTTCATATCTTCTCAGCACCTTAACAAGGAGACAATATAATGTCTTGGTTAATAGATACCTATCTCTGCAGATAGACTACTTGTGTTTAAATTTCAGTTTTGCCAATTGTTATCTATGTGACCTTTACCAAGTTAATTAATTTTGCTGTGTCTCAGTTTCTCCAACTTTAAAATGGGGATGATAGTACTATTTACTTCACAGGGTTGCTGTGAGGTTTAAATAAGTTAGTATATGTAAGACATTTAGAATGATGCTTGGCACATAAAAAACTATTATGATTATTCTACTATTCTCCTTGCCTCACCTTTGAAATCCTATAATCCAGCCTTGACATAGCAGCTGTGGTACTTTTTCACAAATGAAAATTTGACCAAGACATTCTCCTACTTAAAACCCTATAGGGTTTGTCCCCCTTAGCCCCCACTCATCTAAGCCTGTCCTACAAGGCCCTCCATGATCCAACAGTCTGAAAGAATACATATGTGAGACGGTGTGGAGGAAGCCCTAGCAAAGAGCAGCTATGTGAGGGGAGAGATGGAGTGCTGGGATTTGGAGTTCGGGGATGGCGATTTGCACATACTGAAACTGAGGTGTTTGGGGACATCCAGGTCAAGATGACTATAAGCATATGAAGAAGAGTGGAATTCAGGTGAGAGGACAAATCTGGAAATTAGGATTTGAAGCTGTCAGTAATTAAAGCCTTGTGTTAAATCAAATGGCCTTGGAGGAGGAGCAAGGGGAGAAGAGGGTGCAGGATAACATCCCGAGGAATCCCAGTTTCCACAGTGGATGCACAGGAAAGGGAGGCATCAGATAAACTGAGGAGGAAGTTGTTTCAAGAAATAGAGTGGGGTCATAGCATGTGTGCTGGAGGACTAACATACAAAACAACAACAACAACAAAACAAGTAGAGAGTGGTCAGAAGAGTGCAATTCATTGGTTTAGGAGGGTAAAGGTCTCAGAGGGTAAAGACTGCAGAGTCCTGTGGATTTGGTAATCAGAGCCACACAAGAGCAATTTATTGTTTCATTGTAGGAGATGCACATTCCCAACTTCCATTGGGAATTCTCAGTCCATTCCACAAAGACTTCTGAAACCTGGCGCTGTGCTCGATGGAGGGGCACATTCTTTTCGAATGTACAGCTAGACAGATTATAGACATCCAAGCAAATGAGAAAGGCAGTTTCTCATAAGGTATAAGAAAGGGTGAGGAAATAGAGACAGTGAGTATGGACCACGTTTCTGAGAACCTAGGCTGTTGAGGAGAGGAGCAAGAGATAATTTTTAGTTGGGAAGAAACTAGAGAAGGTTCCAGGTTGAGGGAAAGAGGTGTGGTGGGGCAGAGGGATGCAGGAGAGATGGAGGGAGCTGATGGGAGGAGGGTGGCTGGGAAGATGGGAGGAGATGGCATCCAGAATGCACTTGGAGGGATCTGTTTGTGGGAGGTTAATCCTTTCTCCAACTCTCTAAGAATGGGACCCAGGGCCCTTCCAGCTTCTTTTTCCCCACAGAGAAGAACTCCAAAAGGCAGGGCCTAGGTCATCTCCTCCAGGGCCAGGCTCAGGTCAGGTGGTTGGGAGTGGGGGGTGGTTAGGGAAGAAATCTAGGTCATGGGTGGAGATAAAGTTGACATAGAATCAGGATGGAGGCCGGGCATGTGGCTCAGGCCTGTAATCCCAGCACTTTGGGAGGCTGAGGCAGGTGGATCACCTGAGGTCAGAAGTTCGAGACCAGCCTGGCCAACATGGTGAAACCCCATCTCTACTGAAAATACAAAAATTAGCAGGGCCTGGTGGCACATGCCTGTAGTCCCAGCTACTCAGGAAGCTGAGGTAGGAAAATCACTTGGATCCGGGAGGTGGAAGTGGGTTGCAGTGAGCCGAGATGATCACACCATTGCACCCAGACTGGGTAACAATAATGAAACTCCGTCTCAAAAAAAAAAAAAAAAAAAAAAAAAAAGAGAATCAGGATGGAGGTCAGGATCCAGGTGGTTGAGTTCAGGTTGGGTGTCATTTTAGGGGTCAGCAAAAGGGAGGCCTTACCTTCCTCTTGAGAAAGCCAGTACTTCTCAGGCAAATAGGGGTGGCCTGATATGGACCCCCTATAAGTGTAGTCCTGTACAGCACATTTGGCCATCTTCTGCAAGGCTTCGGGATCCACATGTTGCTCCATGGTATGAGTCAGACCCTGGGCAAGGGGAGAGGGGAGAAGTGGTTAGGAGCATAGAGACCCCAGCCCTGGGCTCTTGCTGGAACTAGATCCAGCCTCTCTTGAGAAAGTCAGCCCAGGTGGGTCTCCCAACCCCCCTCCCCATGTCAGAGGGATTCCCATGCCAGCCTTGGATCCTCTGCACAGTTCTCTTGTCTGAATTACTCTTTCTTCCTTTCTTTTCATCCAAGCTTGGGGCTTGGAGCCAAGCAGTGGCCTTAAGTCAGAGTAGTTTTCTGACTTTCTCATTTCTGCCATTTCGCGGGGAGCTCATGAAGGTCAGAGCTACATTTACCTTCCCTTTTTCTCCTAGACTGTATGCTGCCTGGGAGCAGGGCTGGGTCTCTGCCAACAGTGCATCAGGCCCTGGCACAATCTGTAGTCTCAGAAAAGGGGGCTACCCTGGGAGCTGGCTGCCTTATGTAGGTGTCTTGGACAGGAAAGGCTCTCTGGGAATCTGGCATCTTAAGGAAAATGAAGGACAGTGCTGGAGGGGCACCTACTTTAAAATGTAATTCCCGGCTGGGCGTGGTGGCTCACACCTGTAATCCTAGCGGATCATGAGGTCAAGACATAGAGACTATCCTGGCCAACACGGTGAAACCCTGTCTCTACTAAAAATACAAAAATTAGCTGGGTGTGGTGGCGAGCTCCTGGACTCAAGGGATCTTCCCATCTTGGCTTCCCAAAATGCTGGGATTACAGGCATGAGCCACCACACATCGCCCTTCTCTTGGCCAAGGCTGAGACCTGGTTGCTCCCAGTGCTCCAACCATCCTGAAAACCTCTCTGCTCAGGGGCTTCTGGGATCAACTGTGCCCAGCTGACATTATTCTGTGAGCAGATCCTGCACATTCACACTTCTATGTGGGTGGAGGGCAGAATATGGCAGATGTGGGTGCATGGGTCCTGTGACTCAGCATTTCTCTGAGCTTTACACACACACACATACACACACACACAGCCCTGTGTACCCAGATACATCCATAGATGCACATATAGATGAATATTCATACATACACACTCAGATATACCCACTTACACGCTAAACACGCATACACACACAAAAACAAAACAGTCATTTAGAAGAATTCATAGACATCATCAATTTTTCTGTTAGATGCTTTCCTCAGATGTTTCCTCTTTGTCTACTCCTGTTGATACGTAGCAGATTATAAAAGCTTATTGAAGGCTTTGAGCTGTGTGTGGGCTTTGTCCACCATCAGCATCACTGTAGGATGATCTCGTTGGACAATGTTTTGCAAACTCTAATGTCAATATCTGTAGGTCTTTCCTCTTGGCTGATGAGATTCTTCAGAAAATACTCCTTCAACCTTTGGCCTGAGGTTAATGACTTAGCTGCCAGTGTTCTGAGAATCTAGTGCTGAAGATTGCGCTGGGGATTTTAGCATTTAATATATGGAGGTTCACTTGTTTTCAAAATAGTACCCTGTCCTCAATTGGTATCCCCAGTCCTGAGGTCCTTGCCAAAAATTAGTCTCCTGACTTTAGCAGAGACAGAGGTGGGCAGTTACCCTGTGGCATGAAATAGAAGGGGTGATTAGTGGGTTTAACTGCTTTTTTTTTTTAGATGGAGTTTCACTCTTCTCACCCAGGCTGGAGTGCAATGGCGCCATCTTGGCTTACTGCAACCTCTGCCTCCCGGGTTCAAGTGATTCTCCTGCCTCAGCCTCCCAAGTAGCTGGGATTACAGGCGCCTGCCACCACGCCCGGCTTTTTTTTTTTTTTTTTTTTGTATTTTTAGTAGAGTAGGTTTCACCATGTTGGCCAGGCTGGTCTCAAACTCCTGACCCTAGGTGGTCCATCCACCTCAGCCTCCCAGAGTGCTGGGATTACAGGCGTGAGCCACCTCGCCTGGCCTAACTACTTCTTAACAGCTTTCAAATAATCCTTATTTTTGCATTGGTCCTATCCCATCCTCAGTTCCAGAGAAGCCTAGGATTACCAATTCCTGAGCCTTTCAGAAATTCTGCAGTTTTAAGTTTAATTATGGCTTGGTTTTTCCATTGCTGGCTTTAGATTTAGCTTTCTCAGATCTGCTAAGTCAGTTACTGCTTATTTATCATCTTTTCCAGCTTCCAAAATTGTGTTGCCATTGCCTCTTCCTTCTCACTATCCTTGTGAGTTTATCTCTTAAATATTCATTTACTGTAGTTTTAGACGGGTTTTAGGAGGGTGTCAAAACGTGTTCAATTTTAACCAAGAGAATTATAATTCTTTATATATTCTGTATATTAGTCCTTTACTATTGGCACTTACACATGTTGCAAATATCTTTTCTGTTTGTGACTTCTGTCTTTTTTTTTTTTTTTTTTTTTTGGAGACAGGGTTTCACTGTTGCCCAGCCTGCAGTGCAGTGGCACAATCACAGTTCACTGTAACCTCTACCTGCTGGGCTAAAGCTATCCTCTTGCCTTAGCCTACCAAGTAGCTGGGACTACAGGTGCACACCACCACACCCAGCTGAATTTTTTTTTTTTTAATTTGTTTGTAGAGAAGATGTCTCCCTGTGTTGCCCAGGGTGGTCTTGAACTGAGCTCAAGTGATCCTCCTACCTTAGACTCCCAAGGTACTTGGATTACAGGTGTGAGCCATTGTACCTGGCTTTTACTTTTCTTTATAGTTTCTTGATGAACCTCTTCTTTTGTGGTCAGTGCTTTCTGTGAATTGTTTAAGAAATTCATCCATACTCTCAGATAATGGAGACAATGTTCTGTATTTCCTTGTAAACACAAAACAGTGTTACTTTCCATATTTAATCTGTCAGGAGTTTGGAAAACTCATCTTCTTTAAGTGTGTTATAGCTATTTCTTGAACTTTTGCCCATCTCTATAAATTTTAAAAAGTTTGTTGAAGTCTTCAAAAAATCCTGTTGGAATTTTAATTAGTAGCTGGGACTACAGGTACATGCCACCATGCCCTGCCAATTTTTGTATTTTTTGTAGAGATGAGGTTTCACCATATTGCCCAGACTGGTCTTAAACTCCTGAGTTCAAGCAATCTGCCTGCCTCAGCCTCCTAAAGTGCTGAGAACTGCGCCTGGTGATACTGAATCTTTATGATAGTAACTCTTCCCATTCGTGAGCATGTTATATCTCTCCATTTATTTAAGTAGTTTTTAAAAAGTATTCAATAAAGTTTTATAATATTATCCATATAGTTTTACACACATCGTTAGATTTCTAATTATTTTTTGATGCTAGAATGAATGATGTATATTTTAAAAATTATGCTTCCTAAATATTTGTTTGTGTGAAGAAATGTGATTGACTTTTAATATTTATCCAATTATTCTAACAATGTGTGTAGATTCTTTTTTTTTTTTTTTTTTTAAGACTAGTCCAGCACACTAGTGAGAAGGAGAGAAAGAGTGGAACAAGGAGTTTGATCTGTAACTGACTGTGAACAATCAATTGAGATAACTCACTACCTTGGGCCAGCCAATTTGTAGATTCTATATATGCAGTTGTATTGTCTGCAAATAATGACAATTTTCTTTTTTCCTTTCCTATTCTTATATCTTTTTACTTTTTTTGTGGTGTCCTTGCCAGGACCTCCAGTACAATGCTGAATAGAAGTAGTGAACATCCTTGCCTTGATTCCAACTTTTAAAAGAATGCTTCTAACATTTAATCAGAATAATGTTGGCTGTATATTTTTGGTATTTTTTTAATCAGGTTATATTTGCAAAGTTTTTCTTTTTTAGTTATAAATGGGTAATACATTTTAGCAACTGCTATTTCTGCATCTTTTTAAAATGGCTTCATTGAGGTATAATTTACATACCATAAACTTCACTCAAAGTGTGCAGTTCAAGAATTTTTAGTAAGATCTCATATCCGTTTCTGCATATTTTGAAATGATCTTTTTTTTCTTGAATCTGTTAATGTGATGAATGATATTTACTTTCCTAATGTTAAACCATCCTTGCACTTATGAAATAAATATAATGTAACCATCACAAATTATTTTTTATACACTGCTGGATACAGTTTTCTAATATTTTATTTAGAATTTTTGCTTTTGTATTTATGAGTGAATTGGCCTGTATACTTTTATTTTCTTATACACTTTTGATTAATTTTTTTTGTGGGCTCATGCAGTTCTCCTGCTTCAGCCTCCATAGCAGCTGGGACCATAGGTGCGTGCCACCACACCTGGCTAATTTTTAAATTTATTTTTTAGAGAAGGGGGTCTCACTATGTTGCCCAGGCTGGTCTTGAACTCCTGGGCTCAAGCAATCCTCCTGCCTCAGTCTCTCAAAGTCCTAGGATTACAGGTGTGAGCCACTGCACCTGGCCTTCTTGATTAATGTATCAAAGTTATGCTGGGTTCATAGAATGAGTTAGGAAGCATCCTCTTTTTTTCTGTTCTCTGACAGTTTGTATAAGATTAAGACAACTGTTCTTTGAGCATTTGAGGAATGTAACTGTTTATCTATGCTGGGTGTTTTCTTTGTGGAAAGTTTTCAAATTACTGGTTTAATTTTGTTAAATTGTTATAGAAGCATTCAGATTTTTTCCAATTCTTGAACTGGTTTGGCAAGTCTTATTTTTCTAGTGTTTGTCCATTTGTTTTCAATTTTATTAGCATAAAGTTGTTCAGAACATTCTCTTACTTTTTTTTTCTACATCCATTGTTAGACCCTTCTTTTGTCTGTGCCTTGTTTTTCTTTTTTTTTTTTTTTTTCTTTTAAGATGGAGTCTCGCTCTGTCACCCAGGCTGGAGTGCAGTGGCCAGATCTTAGCTCACTGCAAGCTCCACCTCCCGGGTTCATGCCATTCTCCTGGCTCAGCCTCCCGAGTAGCTGGGACTACTGTAGCAGGTGCCTGCCACCTTGCCCGGCTAGTTTTTTGTATTTTTTAGTAGAGACGGAGTTTCACCGTGTTAGTCAGGATGGTCTTGATCTCCTGACCTCGTGATCTGCCTGTCTCGGCCTCCCAAAGTGCTGGGATTAC